GCTTGTCCACCATTGAGAATCGTGCACATTCCAGTTCCTGAATTTTTTGGCCTCTTAGCCAGCTTTCTTCCTTTCCGGATACGAGTCTATTACTTTACTAACTATTCGGTACCTGAAATCTCTTGAAAAACAAAATGAAGTTAAATTAAAAACGAAAACCAAACACTGAAACAATATAAGACCTTTTTCTGGCCCATGAAGGCAAGTCTGAAATTAAAAGGTCCCTGGGTCTGGGTTTGCACAGCACTTTACAGCTATAAAATAAGAGTGTAAAGTATTAATGGGTCAAATGAGTCAATGAGTCATGAGTCAATGAGTCAGATCTGAAAGAATAAACGTTTCGGTAAAAACAATAAAATTAAGCGTTACTCTTACTTATTTTGTCTACTATCTTCATTGCTGCCTTGCACAAGGCCTGTTTCTGACATGAAATCTCGCCCTAGGCTGTTTGTTAGCAGTTCGCAGGCCCTGCCAAATAGCAGAAGCGAAAAATAAGCCAGCCCAAGAGCCATAATAGGACAGAGAGGGACTCTCAGAGCGTTGGCCGGGATATCATAGTTTCAAAAAAGTTATTTTTAGAACTATGCGGAGCACGCGGAAACAGTTTTCGGTAAACTGGTTGACTTCCGGAAGACTCGCTTTCACGATTTCAGCGCGCCAAAGCGAGGCGACGTCAAGAAATAAAAAAATGGCGGCACAAGTGGAGGGACAATGTGGAGTTGATCAATTGGCCTTCTTCAGCAAAGAACCTACCATAGAAACTGCTTAAAACTTCTACACAAAAGGGTCCTTTACAAGCAACGGTAGAAATCGGTTAAAGCGACCGCGTGACCATCGTTTTTGTTTGAACAGCTGGAAAGAGGACAAGTAGCATTGCGGCCCGGAGAAGCGTTGAAGACAAAATGCGCGGGTCCAACAAAGACGACCGTACAAGCAACCATGTGGACGTATTTTCTATTAAAAGAGGAAGGAAAAGAACGTTTAAAGGTTTCCAGTATTTTTGTCACGGACATGACCGGGAATCTTGTGGAACACACCTTTTCCTGCTTGACTGATATTTTGTTCCGAACTTCACATATGGACAATTAACAATTAAGCACTTTAATATTCTTGAACACGAGGTGAATAGAAGCGGAATATTCGCGGCGAGGTTAATATTCCTGAAGCCACTATTCACCAAGATTAAAAATCAGTAAGGAGACCATTTAAGTTCAATTTGATTGACGGTTTTGACGGATCAACTCATGTGTGAAAATCGGTATGTGCAAAAGTTTGATCTTTACAGAATTTTCAAACATTGCAAATCAAATCGCAGTTAAAAAAATCCTTTCGCAAATAATGGCCTAATGGGTTATATGGAATCGCCAGAACTTTGAATTCTGCTTCCCAGCCTGTGAAGCACTAGGTGATAAATGTTAAACACAGGTAAATTCCGTTCAAAAAAAGTAAAGGGTTAAAAATGAACGTCATTTTTTCCCCCAACCAACAGTCATTTTCAACATCATTAGTCAAGTCACAATTAACCTGCGATCAGGCGTTTTTTGTTTTTTTTTCAGTTTTTTTTTTCAAGGCTAAGTCACAATCGTCTTGATTACATGGTAATTTTTATTTTTTTATCTAGTTAAATTCTTCTCTAAGCTGATTTCTTTTCTCATTTGTTTAAAATTTAGTACATAGTGTTGGACTACTTACTACAAGGCTAAATTCAGCGAATAAACCGACATAAAAATTAATATAAGGTTCACATAGCTCCAATTTGGTGATCTTGAGTTATGTAAGAACGTGCACGTTCTTTTATAATAAGCTTTTAACAGTGATTGTCAGCATAAAATATTTTAATTATAGATGGATCTTCTACACTTCCTCTGTCGTTTTTGAAGAATGCTCTTTTACCGAGCAGTCTTTCAGTTCGTTTGTCTTTGTTATATTCCATTGTTCGCCGTTCAAGGTCTTTGTTGGAATACAGTCAAAGGCGTCACATTAGGGCGTCGCCGTTGTAAGTAATTACACCTCTGGAGAATTGTTTGTAATACACTTTTGAGGTTTCCGCCAAAGTACCCGTATAACAAGGGATCCAATGCCACATTTAGGCAGATCAAGAGTTGAGATCCTCTCCAAATAAAACCATATGGAGCTAAGTGAAAGTAGATAAGCGTTCGTGTGACCATAAAAGGGGACTGGCAGATAGCAAACGCTGCGGTTAATGCTGCCAGTGTTTTAGCAACTTTCTTATGTCTTCGATTAGATCTCTCAATAATATTATTGTTAATTACCCCAGATCTTGAACGAAGAGCGCGAAAAATCTGAGTTTGAGAAAAAATCATATACGACAAAGGAATGATGAAGTACAGAATCGCATGCAGACCGTAGAATATTTGTCGGCCAATTCTTCCCCATGTGGTATTAGTACAAAGCAATTCACCGTTTTCTTGTGTTTCCACGCGGTAAATGTGAACCAAAGGTGAACAGACCGCCAAGGAAAAGACCCAGATTGTGACAGTTTTTAGAAATTCTTTTCGTGGCCAGCTATTAATTCGTGCATTAAAAGGATCAACAACAGCCTTCAGTCTCTGATAGCTTAACACCAGAAGCGTTGTAATTGAAACGGTGTACGTTGCTTCGACGAGAAAGCCATGAAGTTTACAGGTAACGTCACCGCCTATCCAACGCCAATAAAAGCCTATTGCATTTAAAATGGTGAGAAAAGTAAACAAGAGATCGGCAGAAGCTAGATTTGCCAAGAACCACATCACAGGAGAGTGTGTTCTCCGCAGGGTGACATAGCAGGTTGTTAGAACCCATGTATTACCAACGACTGACATGATGAAAACAGCGCTATAAAATATGCCGAAGAAAACAACCAGAGCAAGCGAGAAAGAAGTGCTATTAACCATAGTTGAGATTGTTTAAATCGGTGTTCTGGCATCGAATAATTTGAACGTATTTTATCTTAGGGTGGCACGGTTAATGAAGCTCCGACATGGAGCTCCAATCGGTTACTACTCGTCATTGCTGATTCGTGAAGAACTGCACACAGAAAACTGACAAACAGCCTTTAATAATTCGCTCGATTTCAATATTGTATTTAAAAGTTTTTCTTTCTGTGCGTAGAAGGTTTTTTTCTTTTTCTTCTTCTGTTAATGGCATTTTATGTTACGTTCAATCTCATATCATTTCCTGTCATCACGTCGTTCAGCTTTTGAACTTTAAATTAACTTGTCATCTGTGACTATTTAATCGGTTCCTTTTGTTCTCCACTGTTGCCAAACTTTTTATCGATCCATGGCTTTAAAATTAATAGACGCTAATCGTTGGAAAATTAAAGACTGTTCTGGAAGAAAATTTAAACATTAAGTTCATTACGATAAAGCTCGATATTTCTTTCTTTTGCTCGATCGAAGAAAACAACCTTTGGTGTTTTCAGTCTAAATCCCCATTTTCAAGAACTTAATTGTCATGACATAATACTAATATTTTTTCTTAATAGACGATGCATTTATGGGTGGAAAAGCTTTTACTAAGAATCCATTCATGTGCAAATTGTATTCCAGGTGTTGACTAGAGAAAGAAATTGGATTACTAGTCCCATGAAAAATGTCAATCCCTCTTTTCGTAATTCACTTAGTAGGCACTAGTCTACTGGGTCTATAGCTGATTCCAAGTCAGAGTGATCTTTAAAAGGCAATAATTGGAAAATTGAAAACAGTCCTGGAAATCTTCAAGATCAGGCTTGAAATTTCCCCATTATATTTTGTTCCCAAACAGTCAAGTGAAACATTCTAAATCACCATTTTCATGCCGGACCCAATCATGACATAACAATCTTGTATCAATTTTTTTCCTTACAAAATATGCATTAGTTTAGGGACGCAAAGATCAGTCTGAATCGATGCATTCATGTGCTCATCGTTTGGACCAAAAAAGACCCCTATCTTTCTATCTTTCCCTATTTAATATGTCTACTTTTCACTTTTGCTGATCAGGTCTTTATACTGATCCTACGTTTTCCGGCATATTCGTTTGCGGTCCTTTGCAGTCCTTTGTGGTTAATGTTTGTACCCTATCTTTCTGTCTTTTTTTCCTCAATTTACAAATTTAGCGCCCCTGCATGAGAGATAATTTTTGGACAGCTGATCCCACATCTTTATCGTTTTTTTGATTTTCTTTTAAATGGTTTAAACGTAATTGCGCGCTCCCTTTTTGCTTCAAGGATCAGATATTATTAATAACTATTAATAATAACCTCTTGAATTTTCTATTTTCTTCATTGTCGCTCTTAGCTCAAAGTAGTACAGTAGACCTGGCAGTAGCTCAAACGCTGAAGGGAAACGAAAAACAGTTCGAGTTAGCGGGGTATTCGAGTTACTCGAGTTCTAGTTATCGAGGTTCTACTGTAATACATTTTAACCATTTTTGCGCCTGTAATTTCTTGTTTGTGCGATGAGTACACGAGATTTGTTAA